CTGGCCAGAGGATGGAGAAGAGAGGGCATAATCTTGTGAAGCAGAATGTCCAGGGATAATCTTGGAGATAGCTGTGCATGAGCTAGCATAAATCCCATGGTGGAAAGAATTAATGTACATGTATAAGACATACCCAAAGTAACGTTGCAAAGACTTTGAAAACTGAACTCCAAACAAACCACTATTCAAGTCCTAGAACTACCCTCTGAGTAGAGGATACATGGATCAGAACCAAAGTATACATGGATTAGTGCAGTATAGCAAAGGCTTTGAAAATTGAACTGACATTGAAACTTGCACACACAAAATACAAAATAGAACTTGTGGTTTGCAGAAAAGTGATCTCTGTTAAATATAAGAGTGGGAATGAGAGAGGGAGGAGATATACAAGTCGGCACATGCTCGCTCGGACTTACCTCCAGTGGTAGAGCTAGAAATGTGCCAGGGGATTCCAATTCAATCTTATCAAGGAGGCATGTACCAATGTCATCTCACTTAGTAAAGTGATAAGTTTAAGTACATAATTGATCAAAAAGATAGGGTAAGTGTCGAAGAGATTTCACAAATAAGACCAGTGTCTGCAAATAATGAAGGATAGAATTAAAAGGGAGAGAATGATCCTGCGGGGAAAGCAGGACACACAGCAGACTTATAGAATGGCAAATGCCCTAAACAGCACTCCGGCCTCAGAATCAACCCTTGGGGCATTTGGATCTGGCTAAAAGGCCCATGAGAGTCTCACAGGCATGGAAAGCCAAGACACTGTGGCAAAAACGACCTGAATGAAAGACCTCAGTGAACAAGATCCCAGCAGAAAGAACGGGTCATCAAAGAAGGAGGCACCTTTCTCTGAATGGAGGAAGGAACCTCCACTGTGATATGGCCTTGACTAAATAAGATCAGAGATGGTGAACTCAAGGGGCTTCCATAGCCTCGACAGCTCATGGCAAGAGCCTCGGGTGATTACTGACGTCATAAATTAGAGTGTCAGTTGTTAAATCAACAACGGGAGTCACTGGGCACATTCTCCCCATGCAGGATCTCTGTCCTTAATATGTTTTACTATGAGAGTTAATGATAAAACTACTAGTCAAACAGTACTCTATATCTTGTGCAGGTGTGTGGGTGCAGTCTGTTGAAATTTTTGCTTAGTATATACTAAGTTGATCTTCTGTATATAAAGATAATTGAAAATGAAACGTGATGAAGAGTGGGATGGGAGAGGGAGTGGGAGATGGAATGGCTGCAGGTGGGAGGGAGGTTGGGGGGGAAAGCCACAACAATGCAAAAGTTGCACTTTATAAATTTATATTTATTAAATAAAAAAAAGAACTTGTGGTTTGAATTACTGGAGTGGCTACCTGTTAAAAACCAAACGTTCTCCATGGGATTTAGACAGGACCCAGAATCTCACTATATAATATCTGAAATCTCCAGGACATAATCCGAAATTGTTCAACATTCAACGAACTAGAAAAATGTGACTGTTACAATTCTCAAATAATTAGTAAATAATCAAGGATAACATATATGATGAGAAAGGCCAGCACTGTGGTATAGTGCTTAAAGCCACCGCTAGCAATGTCAGCATCCCACGTGGGCTCCAGTTGGTGTCCCGGCTGTTCCACTTCCAATCCAGCTTCCTGCCAATGGCCTGGGAAAAGCAGCAAAAGATGGCCCAAGTGCTTGGGCCTTTGCTACCCACATGGTAAACCTGAAAGAAGCTTCTGGCTCCTGGTTTTGGCCCAGTACAGACCTAGCTGTTGCAGTCATCTGGGGAATGAACCAGCATATGAAAGATATCTCTCTGTCTCTCCCTGTCTCTAACTCTGACTTTCAAATAAATAAATGAATATTTTTAAAAAGATACATGATTATATAAGAAACAAATCTAAAATCTACAAAACAGACAACTGGCTTTATTAGACACAAACTGCAATACAACTGTGTTTACTATGTTCATGGAGATAACAAATTGAGCTTAAAATTTTCAGCAAGGAACTTAAAACTCTAAAAAGTGACACTACACATTTTAAATAATCAGCTAATACTTAACCAGAAATATAGCAAGAGAAACTAATAAATCAATTGATGAATTATAAAACAGACAAGAATTAACTGAACAGAGAATTACTGAGCTGGAAAAAAGGTTAGAAGAAATTATCCTGAATGGAACACAATGAGACAAAAAGACAAAAAATATCAAAGGCAGTAAGAAAGACAGAAGATATAGAACAGTGGCTTAAAAAGATCAAACAGGCTCTCATCTCAGGCACTTTTGCAGTTATTGCTTTCCTCTGCTTGAAATATTTTTCCCAAAATTGGTACATGGGCTTATTCCTTTACTGTGTTCAGTCTCTATTCAAATGTAAAAGAAAAATTCCCCAACCACCCTACCCCCAACTATTCTCTTTAGTAGTTATCATCACCTTATATAAATCTATTATTCATTTATTTATGTTCTGTGCCCCCTCTACTTTCACTGCAATTTTTCCTCAGCAGGTAGAAGATTTCATGACATACAGTAAGCACTACAAACAATAGCATGATAATTAAAAGAAAGTTCAATAAAAGACTGGTCTATAAGTTAAGCAAGAATCTGGATAGCATTTACACTAATAATAAGTACTAAAACATTTCCCAACTTTAGCTCATATAAGAAATCACAATAAAATGTTTTAAAAGATTCTTCAAGCCTCCCCAACCACATTATCACTAACTTACAGAGATGAAAAGTAAATTGAGGAAAGAACCAACAGCCTTGTTTCTCTAGCCCAGGTCAGTTTCTATGACAAAGCCAATGTACTGTCCCTCCACCCCAGTGAATTAGTTTATTTTGTGGTACTATGATAAAAATGACTGAGGCTGAGTCTTTTATACAGAAGAGAGGTTTATTTGTTATTTAGCCCAGAATTTTGGAACTCCAAGAGTAGCCTGGTACCAGTATCTGCTCATCTCCAGTGAGGGCCTTCTGTCTGCGTCTCAACATAGCAAATGCCATCATGCATATGAAGAAGAGACCTTATGGTGACGCAAAGGAGCAACAGGCTGAAGGAGCAAGAGCCTCAATATTTTTATAGCAACTCATTATTGAAGTAATTAATTTATTCCTATAAGAACTTCATTAATCTCTCCCAGGGGTGGCACCTATGATCTAATTACTTTCCACAAGGTCCCACTGCTTAACGGTTCCACAGCCTCAACATGACCACACTGGGAACCATACTTCCAGCACATGAACTTTTAAAACTCTCAAAACCACAGCACCCATTGTGTACTTTTCACCACTATTTACATCTAGGCAGAAAAGTTCATCTCGGAAGTTGAATAAACAAAATGTAATAGAGGAGTTAGCAGTAATACAGTATGTTCCAGAAGACATATTTCTAAGAACCAAAATACTTCAGGCAGGGACCAAGAATAAAAAATACCTAGAAATAGTACATGCTAGAAATAATAATAGTAATAATAGTTAACATTTATTAAGCACTTTGTACTTTCTCAGAATTTAATATTTATTAACTAATTATCAAAACAATACTAATAAGCATTTTATTTATTAATAACCATAGTGGCAGAGATTACATAATTTATTCAAATTATTCAAAGCAGATAGAAACTGAAAATCTGAATTTGAGCACAGCCTAATTTTTGAATACAGGCTGTTAAGCAGTAAGCCGTATGATATGATAAATTTTTAGTTAAGAAAAATAGAGGATATCCTGAAAAAGCAAATGGACAGTATTTCCAAGAAGGTTCTTGCAGAAACAAAGCAGAGCTATTGTCAAATTAATGGCAAAGATAAAGACTAATATTTAATAATCATGTTTTTCATCAAAATGAAAAAATCCCTCTTTACAATTAAAAATCAATTATGCAGAAAATGCACACCACAACCTTATCAGGATTTTTTAAAAGAATTTTTCTTCAGGAGAAATTTGAGACTTCTTTACCGGATATAACATTGTACCACTGTTCTTAAAAACTATACCTTCAGCACAGTCCTTATTCAGTGCTTCCCATCATGAACATGGCTAAGTAGTCTATTCTTGGTTCAATACAGACAGAACAGAGGGTTAGTTTAAGGATTAACATTAACTAAATTGAGGATTAACGGGGCCATCGTTGTAGATTAGCAGGTAAAGCTTCTGCTTGCAGTGCCGGCATCCCGTACAGGTGCCAATTCGAGGCTCAGCTACTCCACTTCTGATCCAGCTCTCTGCTGTGGCCTAGGAAGGCAGTGGAAGATTGACCAAGTCCGTGGGCCCCTGCACCCATGTGGGAGACCCTGAAGAAGCTCCTGGCTCCTGGCTTCGGATCATCACAGCTATAGCCATTGCAGCCATTTGGGGAGTGAACCAGTGGATGAAAACCTCTCTCTCTCTCTCTCTCCCCCTGCCTCTGCCCCTCTATAACTCTGCCTTTCAAATAAATAAATCTTTTTTAAAAAAAAATGAGGATTAATAAAATAACACATTTTGAAATACATCATCTTTCATATAGTTTTGAGAACTTGTATAAAGAAATGTTCTGAGGCACATAAAAACTTGGTCAACCAAAAGTGGTTACAGAGGCCGGCACTGTGGCATAGTGGGTAAAGTTGCCGCCTACAGTGCTGGCATCCCATATGGGCACCAGTTCTATTCCCAGCTGATCCACTTGCAATCCACTCTCTGCTATGGCCTGGGAAAGCAGTAGAAAATGGCCCAAGTCCTTGGACCCCTGCACCCACATGGGAGACCCAGAAGAAGCTCCTGACTCCTGCCTTCGGATCGGCACAGCTCTGGCTGTTGCGACCAATTGGGAGTAAACCAGTGGATGGAAGACCCCACCACCACCACCACCACCACCTCTCCTTCTCTCTCTCTGTAACTCTGACTTTAAAAATAAATAAACAAATCTTTCTAAAAAAGCGGTTACAAAAAATGGACAGATAATTTCTCCCCTATCCACCTACACCACTAAATTAATAAAATCATATAGAAGAGAAAGATACTTACATTTCTTTGTCTTTTCTGCAGATCTAGCACATGTTTCTTTGAGTAGATTACATAAATTCCTTGTAGCATTGTTCCTGAAACAACAACAAAAAAGAATTAGCCTAAGTGCAACCTGCTCTCAAAGCAAAATCATACATAAAAGCTACGAAACATGTTGTTACAGTTTTTAAATTTTTCAAGAACTTTTAAAAATATTTGGCATATATCATATATCATTCATAAGTAACTACATGAACAAAGGTCTGATTGCCCTATTAGCAAAGATTATTTAGTAACTGCCTTCCTTTAAAAGTAATTGTGGGGCAGTGAAGAGCCAGGCATAGCAGGTAAAGCTGCCGCCTGCAGTGCCAGCATCCCATATGGGCGCTGGTTCAAGTCCCGGCTGCTCCACTTCTGATACAGCTTTCTGCTATGGCCTGGGAAAGCAGTGGAAGGTGGCCCAAGTGCTTGGGCCCCTGTACCCGAATGGGAAACCCGGAAGAGGCTCCTGGCTCCTGGCTTCAGATCAGCACAGCTCTGACCGCTGCAGCCACCTGGGGGAGTGAACCAGCAGATGGAAGACTTCTCTCTATATATAACTCTGACTTTCAAATAAATCTTTAAAAAAAATTAAATGTAGGGGCTGGTGCAGTGTGTAAAGCTGCCCCTTGCGGTGCTGCCATCCCATATGCATGCCAGTTCGAGACCAGCTGCTCCACTTCCAATCCAGCTCTTTGCTACAGCCTGGGAATGCAGTGGAAGATGGCCCAAGCCCCTGCACCCACATGGGAAACCCAGTAGAAACTCCTGGATCCTGGCTTCGGATTAGCCCAGCTCCAGCCTTCCAGACTTTTGGGGAGTGAACCAGCAGATGAAAGATATCTCTCTGCCTCTGCCTCTCTGTAACTCTGCCTTTCAAATAAATAAATACATCTTTAAAAAGAAGAAAAGAAAAAAGTTAAAAGTTAAAGCTCTTTATTTAATTTCTACCAAGTTGCTATTAACAATCTTTCAATAAACAGTTCCAGATACACCTAGTGAGAAAATAAAACTGGGTTTTTCATTTATTAATTACCACAGAAATGTTCTAGATGCCTAACCCTCAAATATAAAACAAGGTAAATTTCAGATGAGGCTTTATTATGTGAATAATAAGAACTCCAGCTGTCTTATTGAAGTTTCTAACAGCTACATTTAATTTTCAAACTAAACATTGTCCTATAGAAATGAATTGTTCCACAGGAATTTGAGAATAAGAATTAGTTTGGAACTAAATTAAGCCTTATTTTAAAAATGCCATACTTAAGACAACAGTGAAACACAAAGGGAAATAAAACAAAGGTATTTCTAAAAGTTCATGGAAAAATGAAAAGATTTATGGTGCAAAGAAAAATCCTGAAAATGATGCATAGTTTTTTTATAATGTGCATTTCCATAAACTTTTGGAAGACTCCTAGTATATAGAAGCAGTTACAGAAACAGGATCATGAGGCATCTTTTTTTTTTTAACATCAAAATAGTTCTTCCAAATGTCTGACATTTTAAAAAGTGAGTAGTTATTAATGACCCACAGTTTGCCAAATACAAAAATGCAGACTGGGATAGAATTCTACTTACAAATTAACAAAACACATAGAAAATGCTGAGGAATTTTTAAAAATTATTTTAACAATTTGAAACCAAAAATAAATTTGGAGAGAATAAATTAATTAAATTTATGACTTACTCTTTTATTAAATCTTTATTTTCTTGAATTTCTTCTTCTAATTTCAGGCTTACTTTTTCATTTTCAAACTATTTCACAAAACAAAACAGTTTGCGACACTTTGATTAGTAAAATAAAGATCACTGTAATCATTAAGCAGTATTTCTTTGCTAACACACTATAATGAATAATTTGTAAGAATTCTTTTCTTTCCACACAAAAAGTAACATTTTTGGTCACAGCACAGGGATTTCCCATAAGAATATGAGTCTTATAGTCATCAAGCTAAAATGAAGTTTGCTTAATCATCTCTTAAAAAGAATTCACCAATATCTTAACACAACATTATCTTCTCCAAAATTTGTTTTTTAATTTGACAGGTAGAATTACAGACAGAAAAAGGTCTTCCCTCTGTTGGTTCACCCCCCAAATGGCTGCTACAGCTGGCGCTGCACCGATCCAAAGCCAGGAGCCAGGTGCCTCCTCCTGGTCTCCCATGCGAGTGCAGGGGCCCAAGCACTTGAGCCATCCTCCACTGCCTTCCCGGGCCACAGCAGAGAGCTGGACTGGAAGAGGAGCAACCAGGACTAGGACCCAGAACCCATATGGGATGCCAGCGCCGTAGGCGGAGGATTAACCAAGTGAGCCATGGCGCCGGCTCCCCAAATATTTTGAAATAATGTTTTATCTTTGTTCTAACCCAACAATGTATTTCCTCAACATTTTCTCTCACTTTTTACAAAAACCAAAGCCAGAGTTTCAAATACAAGTATTATATTTTAATGTAATGACATTTATATCGAATAATACATAATCAGTAATAATAAAAATAACTTTATAATAAATTCAAATCATTAAATCAATATTTAAATTATCATTTCCCTAATTATTTCTCATTGTTTAAGATTTATTTAAAAGGCAGAGTGACACAAGAGATGAAGAGGCAAAGAGAGATCTTCCATCTGTTGGTTCACTCTTCCAAATGCCTGCAACAGCAAGGGTTGGGCAAGTCAAGCCAGGAGCCTGGAACTCCATCTGAGTCTCCATGTGGGTAGCAGAAACCCAAGTACTTGGGCCATCATCTGCTGCCTTCTAGGTGCATTAGCAGGGAGCTGGATCTGAAGCAGAGGATCCAGGACTCCTGAAATATGGGAAGCCCAAGCAGCAGTTTAACTGGCTGAAACACACTGTCCCCCTTTTTGTTAAGTTTTGTATAACTTGGGGAAGGAGGGCATTATCATATTCCTAGAGTTGTATCCATGAACTGCATTGAATCTGTTCTCTTTGTATTTCACATTAACATGAGAACTGATAAGCAAAAAGATAGATGGGTTTCTGAAAATGCTAGGATAGTTTAGAAAGGCTTAAGAAATGCAAACACTCAAAAAAAAGTTTTATATAACTTGCCCTCTGTGCTCATTCCTAAAGTTTAAAAAAAAAAGCACTATCCTTAAAATCCCCATCACAGAAACAAGATTAACACAATTTATCCTGAAATATTATTGTATTTTCCACAACACTGGTAAGATTTACTATATTATATTTCAAAATAAAATTATACCTGTAGTTCCTGAATGGCTTTTCGCTGTGCTTCAATTACTTTTCTGTTTTCTTGCAACTTATTTTCTTTTTGCTTCACATCAGATTCTACATTCACCTTCCATTTTTTTATCTTTTCAGCCTCCTTATACAGTTTTGAATATAGTCTACTCATTGGCTCTGAATTCTATTAAAATAAGTTTTAAAACATTGTTAAAATTTTTAATATAGTCACTACAGTTAACTCTTGAAAATACCTACGCACTAACAGTTGAACTCGAATCTCTTCCACTTACATAGTAGCACACTGAAAGATTCATCAACTCTTCCAAATTACTAAGGAAATATTTTAGACAATAAGAGAATTTAGATGGTTGAAAGCTATAATAAATCACTCTACAAGAAAACTATAAATCCTAATAATAATCTTGAAACATTTTGATTATGCAAACTAAAATACATGAAATTTAACAATATAACAAGAAAAATAATAGCAAATACAGATTTAATTTTCATTAAGGTTGAGGTTTTATTTGGATTTCCTGCCTTTTTATCCACATTATACTGTAAATGCAGAGTTTTTTGGTTTTTTCCACACTGGTTTCTGATTGCTGACAGTTCTGTGCTCACTTCGGCAACACATATACGATTGCTGATAGTTCTTTGTTATCAAGATTTATTAATAAGTTATATACTTTTAAATTATACTGTATCAGCAACAAACACATAACATTTTATCAGTTCTCTTCATTTTAAAGACATCTATATCATAAGAATGATTTGTATAACTAAAATCAAAAGTATAGATGCCTTACAAATTCCTTATACAATAAGCCAGCTAAATAATCGATTTCATCTACAAATTAAAAGATTATTTTGGCGGGCACCGCGGCTCACTTGGCTAATCCTCCACCCGCGGCGCCAGCACCCCGGGTTCTAGTCCCACTTGGGGCACTGGTTCTGTCTCGGTTGCTCCTCTTCCAGTCCAGCTCTCTGCTGTGGTCCGGGAAGGCAGTGGAGGATGGCCCAAGTGCTTGGGCCCTGCACCCGCATGGGAGACCAGGAGGAAGCACCTGGCACCTGGCTTTGGATGGCGCAGTGCGCCGGCCATAGCAGCCATATGGGGAGTGAACCAACAGAAGGAAGACCTTTCTCTCTGTCTCTCTCTCTCTCTCTCACTGACTCTGCCTGTCAAAAAAAAAAAAAAAAGGAAAAAATAAAAGATTATTTTGTGAAATACTGACTTGAGTCTGTTTTTTTCACATATTGTATCCATCTTCCCCCCTTTTTAATTTATTTTTTAATTAATTAATTTATTTATTTATTTATTTAGACAGGCAGGGTGGACAGTGAGAGAGACAGAGAGAAAGGTCTTCCTTTTCAGGTTGGTTCTCCCCCACAAATG